CGTAATACATGCAACGATTTCTGGCTAGTTTTATTATTGAACTGAGATAATTTCAACATCGGCTGTAGAAACGTTCAAATTTTGATGATTGCAACAGCATCTTTGAAATTATGTCATAGTTTTATATGTGTGCGGTATAAAAAGTAAGTATAGTAAACGTACAATTAGTTATAATATGTAAAAGTAGTTACAGTATGTACAGTTGTTACCACATGTAACAGTTGTTACACTAGTTACAGTTGTTACGCTAGTTACAGTTGTTACACTAGTTACAGTATGTAACAGTGTCGTGGTTTAGTGACTCACTGCAGAATTAGCTGCCTTTTGGCTTGTAAAGTTTTCTATACATAAACTTTTTACAGATGGATTGGAGAGCTTTTAAGTTGTAAGGGTTTAACCTTACAGGATTCAGATAAACAAATCAATTATAAAATTGAGTAAAATGTAAACATCAAATTACAAATTCTTGGTTACGATTTATAAATTGCTTCCAAAAAAGCTATTAGTTTGATTCAAGAAATTATATAAATATGGATGGCTTCAACCTCATATTGAATATTCGAATATAACAGAGAATACAATCAAAAGTACTCAAAGTACTCAAAGTAAATTACAGTAATTGACCCTTAAATTTAGTAAAAATAATAATAAAATTGTGGGTGAAAGTATTTCAATTAATTCTGAGTATCAAAGAAATGTATCACATTAAAAACAAATATACAAATATAATTGACAATAAATAAGTTTGACTGAACCCCACTTAAATTTCATCGATAACAAGAATTGCGCCCGTTGTTTCGTTTTGGCGGACGCTAGATTTCCATTTCACTATAACTATTAATATAAACTCTAATCAGCTCACCTTGTAATAATAATATTGAAACATCAGTACACTACGCGTGCCACGTTCAAGTTGGGCTTATTACAAAATACTATACATTGCATTGTATACATTAAAACACAGTCGCGCCGCGCATTCATAGATCACAGGCTATCTATACATCACATCTCCGCAAGCAATCCTCGCGCGCGCGCAACTTTTTCGTTGCTTGGTAACGGACGGAAGGAACACGACATACTCAGACACACCTACTGCAATCTCCAAAATCCACGTTTTTCTGCAAAAACGTCCATTCGTAACCTTTCACTATTGCCTTTTTTCAAAAGGGTGAAAAGGAAAAAATTTGATCTAATTCCAAATAAAGATAAAGCCTTACTTTAACATTTCTGTTCAGGACATGTGCCAGCACAGTCCGGTGTGATTCTCTCTCCAGCTTCCATCTCACTAGGCCTATACGAGAAAGTATTGTCACAGGTCATGTCATAAAAAGCGAACCTCTCAGCTTTACTGTATCTTTCTTTACATTCTCCGAGTAGAGGCTGCTCGTACAAACATTCATCGTTGATTGTTATTCGAACTATTCCGTCTTTAATAGAAAAGGACCATGTTGTTTGTCCTTCGTCCGCTCTAGCACGTCTCAACTCAACAGGAGTCAGACACGCAATGCAGCCCGTCATCCAGATACCCCTGAGGTTCCACTGGAATTTGCCAATTTCGTCACCTTCTTCATCGTACAGCACAATTGAGTTGAGCCTCTTCCTCCTGAGCTTAGAAGTAACTTGGATGCCTCTGTCGGAGCTAACCAGATCTTGTTTAACAGTGCATTCCATCTTGGTGCAATACCCGCATTCCGGAGTCCAGCAGTCGCAAGTAGGATATTCTTTGTGTACGACGTCATAAGGATCCGTAGCTGCAGTGGTGGCAAAGGCTTCCGTTGTATGCTCAGTTGTAGGCTGAACTGGTGGTGGGGTGGTTTCTTTGTTATTGTTTCTGGGTACTCCCCGGATGTAATAGCCCTCCATGTGTCTGAAGATTATCCTGTCTACATCCGCATTTCCAAGTGCCCGACAGCTTTGTGGCAAGCCAGGTTTTCTGGGATTAACTTCTCCCTCGTCGAAATGTTGGGAGTATTGCAGTTCTCCGTCACATGTCAGTTCAACATCATCTTCGTTAAAATTCCATGCCCATATCTGCTCCTTCTTTCCTCCAGCGGGAAAACTTTTATAGGCTTGGTATCTAGCATTACATTGTTCAATATTCACGTCAAATCCTCTGTCATATTTGATAGTATTCCACACCAAACGGCCAACTTGATTGTTCCAGTTTCCAGCGTGTAGCAACATCATCATAGTGGATGCTTTGTCAGTTTTGAAAAGTTCACCATAAGATGGGTTCGTATCGTACTCATCAGGACGGAATGCTTTGACCTCCAGAATGTAGTCTCTAAGAGGGAACACGGCTCTTTCTTCGTTTTTCTTCAGAAGTCTCCATTCGGTTAAAGATTTGTCCATAACAGCAGAGAGGGCTGTACCAATCAGTGCCAAAAGAATGGGGAAAATCATGCTCATAGCTGTTGAAAATATGATTATTTAATGATTTTCATCATTATCGAAGTATCGTTATTAACTAATAACCATTAACCATACATGAACATTCAACGAAAGAAACGTAAACTGTAAAACGATTGATCCAAAAGAATAGCAGGAGGGAAATTCCTGCTAATAAATAAAAATAAGCAAATTGCATTAATAGCCCTGAAGAGGTGGAATAGATGATCCAAAAAAACATGAACTGATGATCTACCATCTCAAACTATGTCCTTAAATACGATATCACAACTTGGGCTCGGTCAAACAAATACATCACAATTTGGGTGGAGAGGGAAGCCACAAGTCACTCAATCACATATATGGCTCGGTTGTGGCCGTAATTAGTATACACTTTACAGTGACGTATTTTGTACGATTATACGACAAACGTTGACGACATGACCTTTATTCCGTCATGAAACCAAAAAAAAACTACTTAATTTCAAAACAAAAGGCAGATACGTCATAAAATAATGTTCAAATATTGGTGTGGTCAAACGGTGTCCATTGACATGGAGAATACTAATATTAGCGCATTAGAATAAAAGAAGTAGCTAATATTATTAGTCATGAAGATAATGTGTTTTGTTAGAAAATAGGAGCGTAGCCAAATCATCTTATTTGACATAATTATATAAGGTCGACTAGATTCATCGATTAGTATATTTAAAGTAATCTTACTATATATAAAGCGAGACGATATATATGGTTCCGTGCCATTTTACTGACACCACGGCATCAACTTTAACGGGACTTTCCTCAAAAACCGTAAAAGATATACAACTGAAACTTTTTCGACTGGGTCAAATGCTTTAATGGCCTTCAAATCAGTATGAAAAACTAAAAAATTGGCCAAGGAATAAGAATTTTAGTGCCCAAAATTTGGACCCCCAAGTGGTGTCAAAAACGCGAATTAAATAGGTAATAATTATTTTAGTCTCTTGAGTCTTGACATTACTTTATAGTAAGACGGGTTCCTGCTAGTATATTTAAAGTAATAAGTAATAACGCATAACTGCAACCAGTCTAGCTCAAAAAATGTCGGGAAAATTATGATCTTAAAATTGCAGGCTTGTATTTTTTGGGGTTCAAGATGCCCTTGACACACATTTTTATCTTTAGAGGAACACACATCCTAGACCTGCTGAAGCAATCAGCAACAGAAACAGCATCAGGAAGTCCTACATTTGCTCCACGCTCAAAAAGTCTGGGTGCACGCCCACACAAACTGCGTCGCAGTAAAGAGAGGAAAGTTCCGCCAATCCCCAACCGACCTCCCACCAAGATATCAGAGTCTAGCTCCCCTGGTACCTCCCCAAAGGACATACCGAGCCCCGTGTCACATATAAATATAACACCCACTGAGGCGCTGCTGATGGGGCTGGACTCGCCCACTATAGAGCGACAGGACTCGGAGTACTCAATATCCACAGTGTCCAGCAGCAAGTCAGCCTCTAGGATTGTGAGGATTACTATAGGAGATGAGGAGTACGATGTGCAGAGCCGTCAGAGGTACTTCTGTCACGTGACTTCCGTCATGTGGAACTGATTGATGTCACGTGAAATGTGGAACCTGTTTGGAACTAATTTTAAACTTTTAGCTTGTGTTTGATTTCGTAAAACTGGATGTTTTGGGTGTACTGTATCTTTGGCGATGTAATTATCTGTTTTAATTGGTACCGCAAGATCTCGTGCGTATCAATCTTGCTTTTAGAGATTTGTTAATTTTGTGACGCTTTGAAATATATAATAACTTGAGATATATTGACATTCAATGTACTTTTGTAAATTATACTGATTAACACAGTTAATCAATTGATTAACATACTCAATGGTGCAGATGGCATCCTGTATCAATGATGCCAATCGCCAAGAAAACAACTGTGTTGTGCTTATTTGATTCATTGTGCTATTTATGTAAATGTAATAAGATCAGTGTAAATATCAATGAGATAGATACAATTTCATGTAAATGTCGTACTTGTAACATTGTCTCGTACTATGTATAAATCTGTAAACATGTGAGATTACAACAACATCATACGTGCCAACAAATCAACAAATAGTTGACATACCACTGATAAATAAATATGTGATGATCAAATTAATCTGGTGGTGAAAAGTTCACCTTCTCCCCTGAGATAGAATAATCAACTTTATTCTAGTGATACTGATAGTAATGTGATATCCAACCAAAAGCCAAACACCAGTAACATGACCCTCTGATAAAATTGTCCTTTAGTCTTCAGCACCGCTGATAACAAAAGAACCCGAAATAGTACCTCAAATTAATATCATGATGGTCCTGATACTGTTATGATAATATTTGTAATTAGATAATGTAAGACGAATACTTGTTCACAATCCAGTATGGTGACTTTTTGTATTACGTTCAGGTTGAAAACTTTGGGTTTGACCTGAATGATTTAAAACATTGACTTATTATAGATACTCAATTTTCAATTACAAAACAGGGCACTCAGCCAAAAAAAACCAACAACATTATCCAATTTGCCATCTCCACTTCAATTCGTCAGATTATAAATCTCACACTCTCTCCCTCTCCGCAGTGACAGTGGCTCAGTTAACTCCATCCCAAACGCACACAACGCCACAACAGTAACAACAGCTTCTGTAGTCCCTCCTGCCAACATGAACTCCATGACGCTAGCCATGTCTAATGTCAATGTGGGTTTGAAGCAGTTCCGGAAGATGATCAAGCCGAAGAAGAAGCCTAAGAATAAGAACGAGGGTGATAACAAGAGCATCGACAGGTATTTTAATTTTCTTACTTTTTTGGCTGATGTTTGAGAGTTTGAGGGGTGGCTCTCTGTTTTTCACGTAATAATTGGTGGGTGACTAATTCAGAATACATATTATACAATTATATAAATTGACTTAACTTCAATGTGTAACAATACACGACGAGTTAAATGATATTGTTACAGTAAAACCGAGGACCACGAGAACGGTGGGGACGACATCTCGGAGAAATCAACCTCAGAACACGACAGCGCGGGTCACCGCAGTGAGCTGGACTTCTACGAGCGGCACGGTACCGGATACTTCAGCTCTGATGAGGACGAGGGGGTGGGGGATGACGACAGCGACGAGGATGGTCTCACTGCTAAGGTAAGAGTAGGTGGGGGGGGCGGGGCGAGGGGAGGAGGATGGTCTCACTGCTAAGGTAAGAGTAGGTGGGGGGGGGGCGAGGGGAGGAGTTGAGGATTGAGTTGAGGGAGCCCTATTATGGGAGTAATTTTGTAGAAATTGTGAAAGTTTGGCGAACATGGTGGCTTCGTGTGCTGTGTGTGATCTTAATCATCCCTTAGTGGAAACCAGCCAAAACCTAATTACAGGTTTTACAGCTCAATCATGACCGACATCGGCTGATTGCGGACTAATTACTTGCAGGATTATTATTGAACAATTATTTCCTCTTTTCCAGATAAGGAAATACATTTACAGTACACTGTAATCGTGCCGATGAAGCTTTGGCAGTGGTCCAATTTAATTTAATACCCCTAGAGGTTGCTACATTTCTAGAATAAAACAATGGAATAATACAGCATAATGGAACAATAAACCTGCACGTATTACGCAAATCGTTTTTACTGAATCACACACAATTTGTATGCTTTATGTAATTAGCCTTTCTGTGCACACCTGTCTACATCAACTAACCAATGTTGTGTACAGCCTTATGTTCTTCACTATTGTGCGGCCTGTAAGGCTAGGGTTACTGACAGAATCTGGCTCTCGGTCTATACAGGGTGACCCAAAAGTAACTGTAAGTTAGTATCTGCAGTGGACATTGAGCTTTGGTATATTGTGTAAACTTTACCGATCATACATCTTGGTCTAATATCCAGCTGTTAACGCTATGGGTGCTGCTTTTACTTCAACAGTGGAGCTGCAACGATGTACGAAGTACCATAATGGTTGCAAAACAGCTCAGGGTGTAGTGTGTACATTACTGACTTAGTCTTTATAGAATATAGAGTGGCTCGATGGGTTGCTATCTGCGGTAAACCTCAAAAGCAGGCATCTTTGTGTTAACTGTAGCGATCATACATCACAGTCCACTGTTAAGCTGTCACCATTAGCCTTTACTTTAACAGCTGAACTACTACATCATGATCTGATACTGGAAGTAACAAAATGAATGGCAGGGGTACATCATCCCTCACATACAAGGGCGCTGTTTCATTGGCTCCATATTGTAAAGAAACTATAAAAATAAAGCCATTAGTATAGAGGTTACCATTAGAGGTTACCATTTGCCAAGTATTAAAATATCCCTGAGATAGATCGCTTGCAAGTTGCAATGCTCTACTACAATGTTATATCTTGCCCATTTATCAAGTCTTAACATATCTCCTTGGCCCCAGGTGCGAACTATCAAGATACGGAACACAGCTGAGGTGGGCGGAACACTGGAACTGCCCACGGAAGAGGAACTCCGTAAAGCAACGGAGAAGTTGACGCTCTCTTGTTTGTCTCCTAATACGCTTCACAGAGACCGGTCTAAAACTCACAACCCCCAACTTTTCTCAGGTTCGCAAAGTTTCATATTGTACGGAGAATTGAGATATTAACCTTAAATAAATTCATCTGCTTGATCATGTTTGGTAAATTAAAACCCCATACTTACTGGACTTTTTATGTTTATTGTTTTAATCTAACCCTTGTTCCCGCACGTTCTTGCTAGATCCCAGCTAGGCTCCTGATGTTAGATTCCAGAATTACCAAGTCACTTTTATGTCTTAGAAATTGGGCAAATCTCGGTGAAGTAGCACTTAGCTGCTTAACAGAAGTTGCTTTTAACAACTCTAATTATTAGGTCATAGGTGTCGAGATATTTGATGATTCAATCCCAGAATTCTCTATCGTTTTTTGTTCTCCTGTGCTATTCTTATCTAGCGTTCTTCGTTATCTTAGCTAAAAAACCCCGAAAGGTTGTGAATATACCTACTAATAATAATATAGCTGCAACACCCGCTTTTGCCCAGATCTTGCGCAATGGCACCTGTCCTTTCAGAGCAGGTAGTGTGTGACAGGTCAGTGGTCATGTGACAGTTCACCCATTAGTCGTAGTCTTCTGTAGCGGTACTCAAACGTCTCTCCTTATATGGGCATTCCGTACAGATCGTTTAAATCATTCGGTGTCATTGAATTGTGCTCCAACAGTATCATTTGTGTCAAATGTCGCGACAGCGGGTGGTAATTGGTGGTATTAGATAGGGTGGGATAGTCAAAGTAATTCAGTTTAATAAATCAATTTGTAGTGTAGTGAATCAGGCTGTGCAGGCCTCGGGTCTAGCGTTATAAAATGCCAATATAAATAAATATTCATAAACGCATTCTGGGTTACAGTAACGTCAGGTGTGCGTCATAGTTCAACTATTTATAACGATATTTCATTACATTCCGTCACAATATAAACGGGCCTAATAGTGTGACCCGTCTCACACACGCACTATTTACAGTAAATATCTCACATTTTCACAGTTTTTCATTGCAGGTCGCTCTGGAAGTTTCCGAGGGCTACCCCGCCCCAGATCGGCGGTGTTTTCCACCCGAGTTAGAACCTCATCGGACACCACCCACCTTACTATAACCTCATCTCAAACCTCACTTCCTACTGAAACCTCAATTCAAACACAAGCCTCATCTGGGATTTCAATGAGATCCTCATCCAAATCCTCACTTCTTTTCTCACCTAGACACTCACAAGTGTCAGCAAGCACTCCAGAATTCATACAAAGCTCTGAAATATGTTCTACGTCGTCGACATCAATGAGTTCGTTATCAATGACTTCCTTATCGATGTTTTACTTAGAAATAGCAGAACCAGAAATAGAAACTAAACATAAAGAAGAGCATGTTCGTGTGGCCACAATGGCTGATGCATCATCCCAATCATTTCGCAGTTCTGAGCTCGATATTTGTCCTGAGCCTTCTCTTCCAGAAGATGATTATAATTCAAGCACTAGAAACGCACAAGCACTTCCTCATATCACCATTTCAACTTTGAAAAACAAACGGAGCAAAAAGAAAAAAACCTGGGATAAAATTCTTAAAGTGAAGAGCTTTTGCTCCGAATCGCATGTAACTTTGAGGCAGAAGATCCTAAGAAAACAGCACTTTGAAGCAAAAGTCGTGAAAAAATGCCCAATTTATAGCCCCTGTACTGAACTGAAAAAAGGTATTAAAATAATTCAATAATCACATTTTATTATCTTCCCGTTATTAAAGTTACAATTCATTACAATTCCACAGAACAAGACGACATACTGACACACAGAACATCTTCAATACCAGACATTCCCCGTCTACTGACAAACAGACGAACACTCGAACAAACACGTCCCAGCAGTTCGGACACTGACCTGGTAGGAATGTTTCACTCACATTCCCGCTCCGACGATTACACTAGGACGATGTATGGGACGAGTCCCAGGGCTAGGAGACGAGTGACGACTGATAATCCCTTCCTACCTAATAGATCCGGTAAGGATGTTAGGATATCTGCTGGGATCACAAGTTTGTATTATGTGAATCTGTCAGATCGCATTCTCGTCCAATCCTGGTTTAAAATCATGTATTTCCAAATCGAATGAACATTAGTCTGATTTAACACTTTATAACTTTATAACCGCTCGAACCTCCGCTTCATATTACCTAAGGCAGGAACTTATCTTTTAACTACAGGACAACCTCCTCCCGACATAAACACCACCACACTCCATGTCCCATCCTTCTCTACCGACAATATCCGGGACATAACACCTAACCGACCATCCTCTGGTCGGGATACGACCCGACTGTCTCGTCCCACACGTCCCACCAGTCTAATCAGCAGGTCCCCTCTGGGACTATCCCCACTTGCTAGCCCATGCTTTAACTCCCCTGTTACATCACCTAAACCTGACGAGACGGCCACCAGACCCACTTGTTTTAATGACTTTGATGTTGTGTTTTATAATGAAGATGTGGACCAGACTCCGACTAGTACACCTGTTTCTTCGTCCGAGGGTTTGGTTTGTCGCACGTGTAGTATTTGTCGCTCGTGTAGTATTTCTTGCACGTGCTTTGCCTTTATCAATGTCACTCTGTTCATTAGTGTTAAGTAATAATATTATCCTATTATCTTTAAGCTGCACTTACCATTCTCATCGATTCATTTAAGCTTTTTGTCTTTGATAATATTCATCGTTGCACGTTGCAGCTCTCATCTGCTGGTCATGCCTCACAACTCTACAAAGTTGCCCTGTCATGAGTCATCGTATCACAGCTTTTTAAAGTTGCTTTGTCTCACCTGTACGAGTAATCTCACTCCACGTAGCTATCTTACTATTTGTAGTAGCTATCTTAGTATTGTCTCACTTTGAGATCGTACAGACCCGACCATACACTTTGAAGTTAACAGATCAAACGACATGGCTCAGACGGGAACAATTCTACCGTTGCTATCCGACCGTCAATAATAATGTTTTAGAAGCACAGTTGTTGGCTTAAGATCGATTTAACGCTCCGCACCACACCCTAGCTTCGACTCATCACTCTACACTTAGTAAACAAATATTGAGTATAGCAGGAATTCCTAAGCGCGGTGTTCAAGCACCAGATAAGTCTGACACTGCTTAATTAGTATTTGATACACGGTACATAATATAATATATTGTGGAGCTACATAATATAGTGGCAGAATCACTTAAATTATCATATCTGTGGTCATTGCCGGGTGTCAAATTACATGGCAACAAGGATTTGTAGTGAGTGAATCGTTAACTACCAATATAAAGATATAAGAGAGGTAGGTAGCTCAAGTTGAGAATTTGATATTACTGTCCAAATTTATGGTTTTATCTTACTAGTATATAACTTTATTAGATCAATAGTTTTGTTGAAACTATAATTGGACTATTAGTCGGTACCACAAATTAACAAGTTCGTTAAAAACAGTAACAGGTCAAATAAATATTATAGGCATTAAACCGGATGTGGCACAGCCTGACTCCTGAGTCACGGTTTAAGGGCTATGGTTGGGGTTTTAACTGGTATGTTTGTTAGGTATGCCTGTTGGGTATGTTTGTTAGGTATGTCTGTTTAGTATGTCTCATGTGGCTAATTCTACAGGTTTGTCTTTTGAACATTCCTTACTACCTGGTTAATATTAGACGTCCTTGTAAATCAGAGGCCTTACACTACTGCTTAATTCAGAGGATGACGTGTTGTTTCCTCTATTTATCATTAAAAGTTTAAAGTTGTGTTATTAACTCCTATTATTAGGGTTCATAATTAGGGTTTTTTATTAACTCTTGTTTAAAGTTCGTCCTGGCTGGGTAATACAAGGTGTTCTTGTATCCAACTTACAGGAACCCACGAATAAAAGTTCGGGTTCTGAGCAATCTTCTGAGCAAAATCTGTAGAAGCAACAAAAGTCACTTGATGTGCCACATCTCGCACTGCGTTAAGAAATATCACCTCTGGTACAAGCAATAATCGAAACGGTTCCACCATCTCAGACCTAAGTATCATTAGATTCTGCTTTGGTATTCAGTTAAAGTACTCGTGGGTATCCTACAAACACTCACTGAGTAATGGTGGGTATCCTACAAACACTCACTGACTGATCCCTACTCAACATATCTACCCCTATCAGTGGCAGGAAGGGAGCGAACCACGCTCGCGTCTCGACGAACTCGAATCATATCCGCGTCCTGTAACAACATTCACCTGACCATGGATACTGGTACAGTGCTATTGTTACTGCCTGGCGCTTATAGTATACTAGCGTGTGATTTATCTTGTGTGGGCGTGGCTACTGTCGCACCGCTTATTAAATAGGGTGTGGCTACTTTCGCACCGCTTATTAAATAGTGTGTGGCTACTTTCGCACCGCTTATGAAATAGGGCGCGGCTTTCAGTGTTGCACACCGCCCCGTTTTTATTTTTTTCAAAACGGCGGCAAATTGACTTAACTAGCGGTAACGAAGTTACTGAGTTTAAGGCGATAATGGCTAATACAGTAATGGATTTGATTCTTGCGAGGTTCTGCTTGAAATTATATAATTATATTATGCTGTTTTCTTTAATCTGGGCGACATTTTTGAATTCCATGATTTTTTTCGGGCTGGTGCAACGGCCAATTAATTTTAATTGCAATTATAATATTTCATTTAAAACCGTTTTCTACAGTAGGATTAAACGAAATTCGGTTAAAATGGTCGTTGTATCAGCCTCCTTTAAAAAGTTTTCCACTCAATGTATCGGTGAGAAACGTTAAATTTGGGGTACGATTTTTAATATCTTTAACTTAACTTGTTATTTATATTAACTTTATAATGCTACTCAGTGCACTTAAGCAGCAGCTGGGGTGATTTGATTACTTTTCAAGCTTGTTTGGCTGTTAATCGAGGGTTAATCAAGATATAAGAGAGGTTAATATATAACCTAGTAGCAGTCTGTGAACTATTCAGCGTTTGTTGATCCGGGAGGTCAGTCCGTAAATTTGATTCGGTGAAATTGGAAGCACGGTGAAATCTTTGCTAAATGCAGTTAAATGAAATCGTCGGTAAGCTAAGAGTTCCGCCCACTCATCTATTAGGAAATGGATTCGATGACGTTAAGGCTGCCAAAAGTCACTGCTTAAAATGGTATAATGATGGTATGAAGTGATGACAACTGACAAGGTCACATACGTTGCAGGAATGGATCTTGTAACCTTGTAACTTGGTGACCGTGTTACCTGGTAACCTGGTGACCCTTAAGTCTGGTAATCTTGATATTTGGTGAACCTGTAATCTTGTAACCTGGTGAACATGTAATCTTGTAACCTGGTGAACCTGGTAAGAGGTTAAGCTGATGTGTGAGGGTTGTATCTGCTGGCGAGATCATACTGCAAAGCATTTTTAAGCTATTCAGGATTGTTAAAAGATGCTCTAAAAAGCTTATTATATACTAATGAAAGTGAAACATTCTTCTCAACCAAACCCTGTATTTTCAGCATATTCGCACTCCCTGGTGGACCTACCCGTCTCCCCTGAACCGGCTCCTAAAACCACATTCCCGACCACTTTCAACACTCCACGTGCCAAGTCCGTGTCTGGTCACATCAGTTCTCCGCGGGCTCATCCCAGAAACTTCCCTGCTGCAGGTAATGGAGCTGTGTGTTTGTACTTATTTGGAAAAATAGAATTGAGACGTCAATTTAATGTCGTTTTTGTTTTTATGAAGCTTCTAGTTGAATTATTAATCTGAGTTTAAAAGTTTGAACTCCGAATTCTCAGAGCCAATAGCTGAAGCCGCCGAAACAGCCATTCTCGTCCCAGGTTAAAAATACGTGTAATACTCTGTTAAACACATATCACTTGTTTCCTTTCACCTTTACCAAAAATACCCTTTTCTAGTAGATATAAAATTAGATTCTCCCTTTTTCATCTCCTTATGTGATGCTCTTGAATGCATGGGTTCTTGAATTTAGATTGAAAGAGTCATTCATTCTTGAATTGACTTTTTTGGTTGCCACAAGCCTGGAAGTTAAGATAGAAGGGACATTGGAACCTATTTAGATCTGTGAGATGAATGCATGTTTCTTTAAATTTATGCAAACCTTTTTTCTAGTTAATAGTTGGAGACCCGTGTACAGTAGAGTAGTACAGTCAAGTAAATTGATTGATATTTATTATTATAGATTATCTGCTATAATCAATTATTGGTTTTATCCGATTAACCTCATTAAAAAAATCATTGAGAATTCAGATCACAGTTATAACTGATACGGATTATTTTGTATCGATAGCTACTGCCCGAGTAGATTAATTTTGTTTCCCCACGGGTAATTTATTAAATAGTTTAATAACACGTACGACTCATAATGATTTCACAAGCCCATTTCGTTTTGATCAAAAATTAAATGTGAATTTCAATCAAATGTGTCGTCTTTATTACCAAAAAAGGATTTAATTTATTGCACAATTCTGTTCTACGTCAATGCCATATCTAATTGTCTGTCAAGAAAATCCAAACCCCCATCAGTTCCTCCCCGGCCCTCTTTTAAAACCAACCTTGACTCTCTTGTTCACAGAAACGAACAGTGGCGGTGGTAGTGACGCATGGGCAGTGTTTGACGACTCCTTCAAGACCTCGCCCAAACGTGCCAGCGACAGTGCCGCACTGGATTCAGCTGCCTCGTGGTCAACACCTCCAACTACTAAGCGTATATTGTTTGAGGAGCATAAGATTGAACAAGGTGAGATGACCTGATAATAAATAGTGTTGATGAAGAACAAAATAAATTACCGCCCGCGCCATCGATGTAGATCGTTTTAATGAAAAATACCTACTCAACGTGTAACTACCTACTCAACGATATAAATCTAATTACAGAGAAAGTTCCAGAGAAAGATGATGGGTTAGATGGTCTTTTGGAGTTTGCTCCAACAAATCTTAACACTCCTGAAAAGGCTGAAGGGGTTAGCATCTTCTTTATTTTTTGTGACTTAATATTAATATTATGATAATATTATGGACTACATATTATTGTGGTAACAAAACGAGTAATACTAACGGTGCATATTGTCGATCATTAAAGCAAATTGGCCAGTAGGGGATCAGTGAAATGCGCTTAGACCCGAAATCTTAATTTAAAGGAGTTTGATTCATTAAAGATTAAGATTTAATATTAATAAAGATTTAAACACGTTCCACCTCAGAACCGTAACCTGGATGACCTGCTGTCGATCACGCTGGACGATCAGAGAGCCATGAGTCCTGCCTCCGAATACATGGTTCGTGGAGAGGTAATCTAGGATATATTTATTAAACATCAGCTATAATCAGCTATAATCAGCTATACAGAGTGTGCTATTTGCTGTCTTGAGTTTAAGCTAGGGAGGCGGGTGTGATCAATCAACAGTGCCCAACCATACTTTAGTGTTCGCGTTATATTTTCAAGCTGTGTGTAACATTGATTTCAATATTAATCAACAGCGCACCTAGATAACACCTAAGCGTTATATTTTAATGCTGTAATTGTCACACTGATTTTATTATTGATTGATTGTTTATATATTACGTGATCGCGTTTCTTTTCACTAGGATCATTTCTTGATGGAGTGGATTGATTCAAGTCCTTCTTAGTTTCTCACTTCTCAGTATAGGTTAACAGGTCGTCCTGGTTTGAATGATGAGACCAACTGAGTAGAAGTGTTTTATTGGCTACTTAGTCCTTAGAATGTTACCTAATAGTTTCCATCTTCGATATGCAATTATTCTTTTGACCGAGCTTATAATTGACGTCTGTTTTAGGTTTCCAATTCCCTCATATTTGCTTTTAAGGACTCCAACGCTTTGAATTATTATCTAGTAATTGGGCATCTTAATATTATACTGAGCTTAACTTTCTATCAAAGGACATCTTTTTCCCAACGAGTCAAACTTTCTCGAACTTTTTAAAGGCCAGTCACCTAGAATCCTTCGATGTCTTTTTCATTAAACAGAAGGAAGCCTTAGGACTTAGAATTCCACCATATTTCGTTTTATTATTTGCTAAAGGTTTGCCATTTCGTCCGACTTGTTCCCAAATAACCAGTACTGAACTGTGTTTTGCTTTCGTTGACTTGAAAGATTCCGGGAATTCCGGGAATGTCTGATAGAACTTCCTCCACAGCAGGAGGGAAGGGGCTCAGTTTATCGATATCCTCATCTGAGAGTTGACGGTACTCCCACTCTGTCAGAAGTGCTAGCGAAGAAACAGGTGGGTCAGGTCTTATGGAACCGGAATACGTCATCTTCAGAGCAACCAGGCAGCACCATAAAGGACATCAATAATTGTATCCCTGTGCTTAGTAATGCCCATCTCGCTTAGTGTCCGCTTTTCTTCATAAAATTGATGCAAGCATTCTTATCTCTGGGCACATTATACTATATCTAAATTGCTACTGTATTGCTCCTGTACTGCTTACAAGCACTGTGCCAAGACCTTGGTAGTTAGCAATCTTGCTTCACTCGTTTCGGTGCAATTTTAGTTAGCATTTTCCCGGAACCAGCCTAAGCCTGCTGACAATCTGTAATAAATTAATAAATCAATGTTTGTAAAATCAATAAATGTTTGTAAATTCATTAATAATATCGATATTTAAGTTTTTAAATAATCTTTAAAATATTTGATGATAATTAAAATCTGGACCGTAATGATAATCTCTCCAGACCCCCGACGGTTCGCCCACCAACTCAGAATCAAACCCAAACATCCTGGTCTCGGACGAGACCGGAGACATGAAGGACGGAGACAAGGTGGAACTGGACGAGGAGACCGGAGCTCGGAGAAAGAGGCTGCCAAGTCTCATTGAGTTCTCGCCTGTTAAACCACTGTAAGTAGACAGATTGTTCCAGACTGTTTATGGTCGGTTTTTCAGCACCAGCTGTTGATGAGCTGTGCATGGGGTTTGATTTTTTCACATTAAATCACCTAGTCTTGATGAAATTACTTAAAATTGTAAACTAAAAAACGTTATCTGAAAGAAAATTTTAGATTAATAAAATTGTGGTGGGACCGAGCCGCGAGTAAACGACAATCAACAACCGAATCTCCCACTTCTCCCCCACCCGACAAATCGTCGTCGTCGCCGTCGCCGGAAAGAGAGATAACGCCGTCGCCGGAAAGAGAAATGTCGCCGCCGCCGGAAACGCCGCCAGCGGGAACTTCAAGAATGAGGAAGGCGTTCGAGAGAAACAAGATGACGGGGACCTTTTTTAGGAAAAAATCTAAGAATAAAGCTCCAGCACCACCTCCACCAGAGTAATAACTCGCTTGAGATAACATCTTGCTAGATAATATATCGCTAGCTCCACAATCTTGCTAAGCTTTGCAGTATCTTGTAGTGTTATCTCCTTCTGTATCTTCATCTCCTAGCTTGCTTGCTTTAAAATGTAGCCGGGTGAAAGGGACCCAACCGTATTTTGTTGCTCTCAGTTGTTTACATACCGCACCAAAATGCGGTTGATAAGCAAAATGCGGTTGGGTTGCCTTTACCTGCCTATATAATATTCTGTGATCATAGAAATGAAGTTACGTGAAATATCGTGATATTATTGTGACTGTATAGCACGTCATCATGATCACACCACGTGATCACATAATCACGTGATCACGACCCTAGAATGAAACGATTCTGTCAACCTGACCTTGCAAGTGTTGATAGTACAGAGGAAGTTGCAAAATGCTAACGTGATTTAAATGCACACAATAATCCTTAATAAATAATAATCCTTAATATAACTGCCTGCGTTTTTTGTTAGATTGATTTCTTAAACTAAATATAATGGAGAAAATCTGCTACAATCTGCACTGCTTGGCCCGAGGGATCTCAATTACTGTATACAAAAATACAAACTATCCAATTGTTCGCTGAATTTTTCAGTCGATTCTTTAAGTTTCACAAAATTTACAACATTCCGTTCTAGGAATTTGTAGATAAAGAAAAATACTGAACTTTATCTCGGCAACATTTTTTCTGCTTGACATGACACTCGGGTCGTATTTCATAACAAATTGCTTATCGGAGCTTGTGTAATTTTAGCCAATCGGATTGCTTTAAACTTATCACAGGCTTGCTGTTGTCAATGACAACGACAATACACAGACCTTCCGATGCTTGTCCTGAAATATTTCTACACAGATTTGGAGAAACTCAAATATTTACATTAATTTGTTAGACCCACTAATGTAAGTAGTTGATAGAATTTTGGTTGGAATTATTGGAGGAAATTCATAGAAAATGTAGACAATTTCAAAACATTGCCATATTTGCCAGTATATGTGTTATCATCACACGGGTTGTTTACTTAGCTTGCACTAGAAATTAACAAACAATTATTACATTACACATTACACTCTTTAAAATTGCGGTCGCTATGTAACTTACACCACGAATTAAAGATCCTAGTTAAGAAATGAGACATTGTTATAGCCCTGGACGAATGTTAACAAAAGACTTATATTTATAATATATAATATAGCATTATATGAAGAATTTTACAACCACATCGTTAGTTTAAATTTTACAAAGAGGGGTGGGCGAGCCGGGAGTCGAGCCCTTCGGGGAGAAAAACATTTTTCAATTTGTAGAAATCACTGCACTGCCCGAATCACGTGATACAGGAATGCTTTGCTATCAGCTATTATATATATATTACTAACGAATACCATTCTGTCACGCTCTGTCACCGTCACGCACTATTACATCCCATGTATTATCTCTGACGCAAAACTTAGAAGTATGTGCATATTTTATGTGCATACCTATATTATACCATATTCGTCAGGTCTATCTTAATCTTATAAGACTGGATTAGGCGGTGAAGATGGTTTGCATTTACGTCATCAATGATGGAATGTGGTGTAAGAGAATATAATACACTATCTTGTTTTTGTTCTACTTGAACGGCCAGCAGAGAGTTTATAGTCCTCTTGTGAAGAAAGTTGGCGAACCGGTGCTGCGAATTTTAGTTTACCATTAACTTCATTGAGAGCATTGCCACCATGATCCGAGGGAGCATAATATTCAAAATTAGCGGGAAAGTGGTCAAATTTTAGATTTTATTTAAAGTTATCCTCGCTCAGAATTTAATTTAATTCGAAACCCAGAGTAACAGAGATTGAGTTAGTCACGTGAAATTTAATTCGGTTCGGCCACAAACTCTCTAAACTAATTATGGTTAATTATCCTAATGCCCCAGCTGTCAGTTAACAATTTCCCCGTAATTCCCGTGTATAATCTCGTCTGCTCCCAGATCCTCGCCTAAAGGACTACGCCGCTGGAAAAATAAATTATTTGATAAGAAAAAGTTTGAGCAGAGGTTTATCCATGTTTGTGCCACTTAATTTCATCTCCAGAAATATTTTTATGTCGTCATTGAATGAGCGTACAAATTGTTATGATCAAACTGCATCGAGTGTAGCACACTGATTTAACATGATGTTAGTTTTACAAGTGAAACATTTAGCCTTTTTTCCTCTTACTAAAAAAGGTGTTGTTTCACTTGTAAGTTGTAGGACTGTCATGTTCAACAACCCTCTGAACAGATGTCACACTTAACTGCATGATTGTACTGATTTGACATCAAGACCAGTTTTAACCTTTCTACCATAATAACATTGAAATGTACACTAATGTATGTAGTGTAAAATGTACGTTATGTTTATCTCCCCTGAATTATGTGCATGTTCTGGAACACTGATTTACTCTTTGTGCATGAAGACCTGGTGTGATTGTCAGTGTTATTCTCTAATTATCGTAATACTTTATAATTTAAAATAAGTTACTCGGTGAAACATTGAACTCTGAACCAACAAACCCATTACAAAATTAACCTCTCTTGATCCCTTCGTTTCATTTTTAGAAAATGCTTGCGGAGTTTAACCAATTCTGAGTTCAAAGTTTCACTGAACCTTACCTGCTAGTTAAAACACACCCATTTCTTCATATCCAACAACATCATTCACCAGTCGTGGGCAAGTTAACCCATTCAAAAGCCGCCACACATATTAGCAAATCACAGCACAATCTACCGTCATAACCACTCCCAACCGTTTTCTGCCCATTATAACTGCTGAACTGCTCTGCAATAGCGTGAAATTGGTTTATAATTCTCTGAAAGTTCGTGGTGAGCACGGCTACAGAGTTGGAAGCTGTCAAATATCAGCAGTAATTAGCAGTATGTGCAGACTTTTAGTGGTATGTGCAGACATTCCAGCCGAAATTCCTCAGAGCATCACAAATTAGACATGTTCGGGATTGTTATAGCATTGTGTTTAATATCGTCACCGTATTGTATATCTTTCTGATACACATAATTGATAATTTAGCATACATCTCACTATTGTATACTCTGGTTTGATCCTTTTGTCCTCCCCCGCTGTTGTATATTGTCAGTGATAACGTAGTGACGTCATGAAGTATGTGTGTGTCTAGTGCTTACGTTCAATTTCATCACAACACCACGTCATTATACGTCATCTACGTCATTATACCTTTATCAGCTGTAGATCATGCGGGTTTCAAAGTCAACTGTATCTCGCTAGCTAGAAGTTTGGATTTACCTGCAAACATTTCCTTTGTCACATCACAGTTTTACATCTAGAATCATACTTAAAACACTCATTTACACTCAAAACAATCAGTCACACACTAAGTGTAACCCCAAAAAACACTAAGTGTAACACTAAGTGTAACACTCAGTGTAACACCAAGTGTAACACTCAGTGTAATACTAAGTGTAACACTCAGTGTAATACTCAGTGTAATACTAAGTAGTGAGTGTCACTTCAAAAAACACAACACCCAGTCCCACTAACTGAAGATACCCGTTCAGGAGCCAGGAAGCTTCAGACCCCTTATCTAGTACTCACCGAAGTGAGGAGGATATTGTGGTGGATGCTGCTGATCCGGATACTAGTCTCTCTCCTTCTAACAGTATTGACACTGATAGCGTGAGTATTGAGGGGCCGGGGGGTTTCTTTGTAAAATGCTTAATACTTTCTGTATACTGACATAGGAGGATAATATGGTGGGTTGGACTTTGGAGCCATATATTTTAAACTAAAAGTGGCAAAACAGCACCCCCCAGAAACATTGATCCTTATAATATCTTAAATTACTAGCCTGGGCGTATGTTAATAAATACAACGTATAGTATTTTAAGTTTCTACCAGCTGTTGATATCGGATTATCCCTGATTAGTCCGCGTATCATGTTATTGTGTTACCCTGTTCAACCCTATTTGATGAATATAGATTCCTTTAATTCCGTCAATTCAAATTGTTGCTATTCTGGGCTGTGCCTCTCGCTTAATGTGTCCTCAAGATACCCAAATTAGGCATATAAATATTTGTTATATCTAATTTATATGTTACGTTTCATAAAACTGTTATATCTAAAACAGTTACACAGGTTACACGGTTGTGTAAAATGTTTTGTTGAATGGTAGGGCCAGGATGTTATGGCGATGCCTGATGCGGTTTGAGGGTCACGCTGTAGATAATATTATGCAGATGGAAGCTGCACTGCCGCCTAGTACCTAGTGTATCTATTTAGCTTATAAGATTTGTAAGCTTTATAACACGTTATATATAACACATATATATATAACACAAATTTTCAAGATTTGTAACACTTTACAGTGGTACCCTTTTTGTCAAGTCTCTTTCCTTAAATTGGGAAGCATTACAACCAGGGTGAATACTGAATATATCTAGTCTAGACTTGTTCGGTGGGGTCCAATAAAACATCTATAAGTCTAACCTGTTTATTGTTTAACAGCATGTTCCGCACAGTATATCACGGTCCATAAAAGTAAAAAGTTAACTTATAACGCACTTTTTTTGGTCATTTATTTACCGAGTGCGTTATATCATTGAAATTGGCAGGTAAAGTCCGATCTAGAATCCAGCTGACGCCTCAGAATAAGTTAATTTACTTACCCTGTGGTAATCTGTGTGGTAGTCTGTGTGGTAGTCTGTGTGGTAGTCTGTGTGGTAGTCTGTGTGGTAATATGTGTGGTAGTCTGTGTGGTAGTCTGTGTAATCTATAATGAATTATCTCACATCATTTTAATCCCAGGGTGTTGCAGTTGACGGTTCTATGCCGCCTACTCTTCTTGCTATCTCTAATAACGATGTAAGTATAATATAGGGTACTTACTACATAGTTTATAATGTAATATAGGGAGTAGGGGCTTTTTACACAAATGAAAATAAGAATCCGTCCTGATTAAAATTTTATCGGACAGTCGATTAGACAAGAATAAATCGTTTTCTCATAATATAGACACTACGATTATTATAAAATTAGGCCTGGAATCATGATATGTACTACTAAATATCGGTGGTCGGACTTTTTACCATATTTGGACTGTTTTTACCATTTTTATTTGGACTGTTACCTGACTATATCTCTATATGTAAGGACTTTAATTTCTCCGTGTTAGATTTATAAAATGACCATATTAGGAAGATGATAAACTTATTCAGATTGACGTTGAAGACTCCAAGTTGTTATCGCCTTTATCTGTGGACAGCATGAGTAAAGTCTCCCTAGATTCTTATGATGCCCAGACTGATAAGCCTAACGGTAAGATAAAGAGATAAAGTACTCTCGGGAGATATCTTATCACAATAATATCTCACTAAATATCATCATGTTCGTTTTACTACAAAAGCGTTTTTTTCGAGCATTGTATTATATGTTTCGTTGGCACTCTAAAATATTGCAGTATATTTACGATCTGAAGCCGTTAAAAGCAGAAAATAAATATTGTCAAACGATTCTTTGTTTGAAACCTTTTTTGTTATATAATAATAGGTATCTTTGATATATATCTAAGATAATACTGTGGCACATTGTTAACAAATGGTAAAAACGATTAGTTTTTACCATTTGTTATTAGTTATTTATGCCGAATACGGTTAGGCGAATGTTCATCACATACAGATATAGATGTTAAGTTATCTCGTTATCGTTAGATTCCAAAACAAAACATCGATTATTAACATTTTTGGTGGTCAATTTATTGGTGACCATTTATGCTGAATGATTCAAATTTCAGGATTGATCCCCAAATTGAAGCCGACATACGCGACTGTCACCTCTCCCCCGGTTATACCATACCTTACAAAACCAGCTTCAACTGAAGATGTTGAGTTCAGCGCTCAACATGAGGGTGAGTACTGTGACTCTGTGACTCTGTGACTCTGTGACTCTGTGACTACATATAAACTTAAAAATGCTAGTTTTTTACAGTTTTTAGAGTCAATACTCAATATATACATAATATATCTGCTTACTGCTGTGCACATTCCTCAAGCGAAATTATTTTTGTCGACAAAACAGTGATATTGAGAATGTAATCGAGGAAGTAGTTTGCATTCCAAGACTACATTAACATTACAGTGTTGCCTCGTAAAACTGTATAAATTATGCGGTATAATATATTATGAAACATATGCTCTTTAAGTTAAAAAAACTGGAAATGTATCACAAACAACACAGAACTGACCCAATGAATCTTTTATAAACATAAACTCGAGACTATTTCCCATTATCTAGGTATGTACACATGTAAAAAGATATGTGTAATACGCGTTTAACACGTTACGTCTAACACAATTATCACTCTCTTCAGAAACAGTAGAGAATGATCGCGAAGAAATACCGTATCCGATAGCCATAGCTATAATCGAGACCGCTAGTGCTGTCTTTAAACCGAACGATGAGTACGAGACACTATTGTTTTTTGTTGTTGTTGTTGTTCACTTAATTAACTGATCACTCAACTTTACAGTTATTTACGTTCTAAATTTCTATTAATATTTGAGACGATCTTACAACCATTAATACTACCAAATCACACAGTTGACAGTTCTGATGATGTATTTATTCAGGTGCACCAGCAAGATAGAAGGTGAACTGATCATGTCTCTCCCGTGTGATGCCGCAGCTGATCTAGCTATCAACCCTGCTCCTCCACCCCTCAAAATTCGCCTTGTCTCCACAACTACCCCCAACTCTTTTATCGTTAATCGCCAGATATTTTCCATCAAACCCCCCTCGATATTGGACATCCTGGAAGTCAATATGAACTTGCTGCAAAACTTTTTGAAGAAGCGCCTTGAACAGATAGGGAAGCAGCAGCGAATAAACATTCCTCTTCTTAAATATAAATCACCGTACCTCAAAGCTGAGTTGGCGCCGCTGATAGCACAGTCCTATTGGACGACTAGCGGGGACAATACTGTCTTATCAATTGATGCATCTGTCAACGAATCATTGGCGGTGCAGAATTTCCATTTCCCGCGCATAACTTACTCGAACAGTTTTGATAGCTCTACTCCAGTTTTAAGCTCTCACCCATCAGCTGAGATATCAAACAACAAATTAAGGTGGGAGCGGTACGATGTGGGCAACGAAATGTTGGATCACCCCGACCGGCTTATCGCAACATTCGAGGTGATCCCAAATTTAGAGGGGTCACGAACCGATATTGAGTTTGAAGTTGAGGGGGTCGTTATTTCTGGGACTGATGTTGTCTTGGAAAACTCAGAATCATACTCTATAGCCACCACTGTGAAGAAAATGAAGTCAGGTGAGAAAGGTCTTGTTTTGTGTTATTTTACGTAGCGCGCGGTGACGTTTATGTGCTGTAGCACGAACCCCATCAGTGTTTTCGCGAATATCGTGAAATTTTCTTGCGCGTTCACTATTTATAGATAAGCGATGTTATCCCTATCTATGCTTTGATCATTGATGGCAATTAATTATCTTAGTCGCCCACAAAATGTTGAGAGGACAATGTTTGTTTTGTACGTGTCATTGCCTATCCCAAGCGGGCTAATTCAATGTATTTTGTATTGTCAATTGTGGTACATTTCCTCCTAAAATGTTGTGATTCTACCACTAAACTTCTTCATCATTTAATATGTACTCATGCCTAATTTTTTTCCAGATAAATATTGGACGGAACCTAAGATTATGGATTCGAATTGCTGACATGTCTAAGCCATTGAAGAGCATACTAAAAGAAGACAGAGGCGATTTTAAAGAAGGCGAAACACGTTCAACGGAGATTATTTCGGAATTAACAAGAAAAAGACTTTCAAAAAATTAATTTCTTTCCTAGGACTGATAAACTCTAGGAAATTTAATTTTTCACAAAAAACCCACACCTACTGATGATTCATTCGTTTTTAAATCTTTGTACCATAATTTTTATTGTTGTATAAAAATGTAAACTGCCGTCAAATTCGGTGTATTAGTAATACGTACATATTGAAATACATGTTCTGCGATGAGATCAAAAATGGCTCTTTTCAATAGACGCTAGTATGACTTTAGTAACAACATTCAATTTCCAGTTTAATCTTGGTTGACGTTATATTTGATGAATAAGATCGGTTGCATTTTAGAGTGTATTTTTATACCGTACGTTCTGATTTAAATCTTTCGTAGAAGCGTAAGAGAGACCAGTATTCTCGGGTCAGAGCAGGGCGTTCCTATGTCTGTGCAATTAATGACGATTCAAAATTCCAGCTTGGTATTGCCACATATTGTGTTTTTCATGAGGGACATAACATGTGACTAGCTTGATCTTGAATCAGATTGTAGAGTTATTTAGACGAATAAGTCTGGTCAACTGATCCGAGGGACATTTGTTTTACTGAATATGATTTCGAGATTCATTCAAAACAGCGTTTTACTTCTTGCATCTTCACATATCAAAATTTAATAACAAATTACAATAAAAGGTCAATAAATATCAAGTCACAACGGTTGTTTAATTGTGAATGAAAGTACAACCCTCTCATACTAGATAAAAATCAACGCAGTCAGAAAAACTACGAGAATATATTTAACCGAATCTAAACACATGGGAACAATCACAACAATAGCTCAATATCCCTCAGGTCTGCAATAGATTATTGACAAAGTTATACCCAAGCTTAAAGAAGCCCAGCTGTGGATGTTCCAAAACGGTTCCCGCACTGGAGCTTGAACTGAGAGTCCGGTCTAATCTTGGTGATGATCCTCCACGTCTGTGGTGTCTGTTTACTCCTTCCAGGATAGATTTCTGAGGAAAGTTAGATGTATATCAGGGGTCGCTGCATTAGACGATGTTTAAACGTGGACCATCAAAGAGCTGCCAAAAGTATAATACGCCAGTAGAGACCGCCTTCTGAGAGCACATCACGCGCGCGTATTTCTGTACGTGCAAGTGCTGAAAAACATGTTTTCATCGACAAAAGTGTCGCGCGGCAGAGTTGATCTAAACTTCTGCTCTGCGACCATATTCAATATGGCAAAAGCGCGGTGCTAACTCACCAGTTCCATTCCCAGCTCCCTTCGTAAGTGGTATATTTCTGACGGACTAATATTGTTATCCATTATTATCTGTTGAGCTTGGGAGATCAGGACGTACAAAATGTTCTCTAAAGCAAACATAATCTGGGATTTCTGACTTGTTCCGACAGATTTCGTTTCGCTGAAAACATCGATTTTGTTATCTCTATATCCCTAATCGGTTAAAGCAAATTAAGGCGGCGACATAGCACACATCTTCAATGAATTTGAACAGGTTCCAGCTTTCTAGTGAAAAACACCCCCTACCTGTCGGGCTTGGTTGGAGTATTAGTTCGACACGGATCAACTTTCTGTAGCAATATCAAACATCCTCTCATACAACCAGTAAGTATGCCGTACGAGGGGGGCCCTTCTGATCCGAGGGGTGGGGTCGTGAAACTGAGGGCCAGAAGGGGGGCTTTGGAACACTGGACACTTAGCTTTTCCTGGTGAGGAGTAGCAGTTAAGGGGACATACACCAAAAGCTTTTATGCCCTGGCCTTGCTGTTAACTTCATATTAAGAAAGTATACATCAAAACAATAAGATTTGATACATTAAAAATTATTTTTGAGGACCCGCACTTTCGAAAAAATAAATATTTTCTTTTCCGAAAATTTTGGAAATTTTGAGAAGTCTGTCACTGTAATACCGATATTTCGGTCATTTTAAAAGTCTTTTGGCTGATTTTTTTACTTAAGATTACTTACAATCGGTACAAGAAACCTCTGAAAGGATTATATAATTGAACCATAAATGGTAGAAAAATGATTTAAGATATAGAAAAGGTACTGTTATTTTGGTGATTTACAGGGGGGGGGGGGGGGGTCCAAATACATTTTTGTACACTAATTTAGCGTACATTTGGCAAAAAATCTGATGGCCATGTACATTAATGGTCATAAAAATGTACAAAAAATCGGAAATCCCTGGAAACGGAACAGGAAAAACAGGAAAAAACATATTTTGTACATTTTTGTACATGTAAATTTGGCAAAAATCTGGTGGCCAAACAGGAAAAAACATATTTTGTACATTTTTGTACATGCACATTTGGCAAAAATCTGGTGGCCAAACAGGAAAAAACATATTTTGTACATTTTTGTACATTTTTGTACATGTACATTTGGCAAAAATCTGGTGGCCATGTACAAAAATGTAGTTGGACCCCCCCCCCCCCCCCCAGTTACATTTGTTCCCTTAAGAGTTAAGAAGCACCAATAGATGGAAGGAAGAAGTCGGTGTTATTCTGCGAGCTTTTCTTCAGGTTTGCTCATCGCAGATACAATTCTTTGAAAGATATCTCAGAAACAAATAAGTAGAATAAGTAAAGGTTTTTTAACAGAGTTTACTAATTGAAATGGGTACGTTGAAAGTGTTAATGGATGAAACTTGAAAGATGTGTGAATAAAATAAAATAAACAATTTTTGACCGGACATATTAAATGCTAATGGTAGGCTGGGTGAGTCGTAGGTGTTAATGGATAAATTAAGAACTACTAGAGATTAAATCAAGTTTGAATAAAACTGTGACCTCGACCCTCGTCTTCGGTGTTAAAAATAACACGTTGACTACAATTTATTCGGTTAAAAGCTGGGTGCTAAAGTCGGCTAAAAGCTGTGTACTAAAGTGGTTACATTTTATTCGGTTAAAAGCTGGAGTGGTTTGCAACAAATGTTAAATCCAGTGACACATTGATATCGACCATTTTATTTCGTTCCTCGGCATGATTTAACATTTGACCACTCCTTTGAAAATTTAGCATGATATGAATGGATCGGGAATGTAACCAACGCCACACCTTATTATTTTAACTAAATCCAACATGTCACTTAATCAACTCATGCATTAGTTTAATTTATGAAGCGGGCTTTTCAATTTTTATCAACTCAAGCAAAGGTTTCGAGTTATCTTTGCTGATTCAGTTATTAAACGTTTCTGTTTTTTCCTATTACTGTCATATCCATGTATTTTAGGATAGGTACGAATGTTTGGTGAGATATGACATTAGATTAAAACGACATTTAAATAATATTAATGTGATGCAACTACTCTAGTAGCAGAGCAGAGTTGAGTGTGCACTGTGCACTTCGATGTACACGATGGCTCCTTCGTTTGGTCATTGTGGCCCAAAATCTACATTCTACATTTAAATAATATTAATGTGATGCTACGTTGTGACCTAATTTCCGGTGATCATAGAAATTTTAGTATTGACCGATCTTTTATTTGCACCCAATTTACCCAAAACGCAATGAATAAAACAGTTTATTCACAATCAGTACTCAAAAATCAAAATAAATTTAAATAGAGTGAAAACAAACCTTAAGGAGATCAAGAATCCCGGGAGTCATGATTCGTAACATTGCTGTTAGATTTGAGAGCATGGCCAGAACCTTGGATATTTCATCATCCTTTGTGGTGCTCTCGGTTGTCATCAGGTAGTGTGTTATGATGGGAACTGTGGTACCTGGAGATATTTGTTCATTGTAGACCTGCTAAAAGCGGGGACAATAGAGAATAAGAGAAGTTCATAGTATTAGGGGACAAAATTATTATCGATTAAATAGAGTGCCCACCTTATCCTAAAATTTCTACCAATGTGTGCGACGTGCGTTAAATCTAGCTGTTCCGGGAAGGTAGAGTCTAATAGTTCATTAAAAAAGCAGCCTCTTTATTAAGTTCTACAATCTGCAATCTCCGGATGCTACTTTGCATTATTTTAGATTCAATAATGCTTCTTATCTCCAAAAATCCATTAAAAAAGTGCCTAACTGAACTTTTTTACGAACACGTCGACATGACTTTTAAACATTTCCAATATAATTTCATCAAATAAAATAATATTTAAAGACCTAACATGTGCGAGTAAATTGCACATCTTCATAATATTTTAATTTTACTATTTCTCCTCTCCAAAGATGTTGATCACGTGACTGCTAAAATAACTCTTAAGTGGAAGAAAAATCAAAAGGTTGCCAATCGTTCTCATATTTCCACTGGCTTTGAATAATCTAACTTAGAATTAACTTGCTTTACTTTGATAATGCATGGTTTTTAGTGGGCGGGAATAGCTACAAACTGCATATTTATCATTTAAAACTAAGATTCACATATTTGTACTAAGGTGATGGTAATGCTAGTACGGTATTTAACCATTGTCCAACATATAATATTAAGTCCGGGCCTTAGTTTGATGGTCAACTGTTATAAATCTAGAAATCAAGTTTTACAACAAAATCAGGGTGAACAAAAGATAAAATAAAACACTAAACATGAATTCAATTGGATATTATCGTACCTAATATAGTTCCGACATCTGAGAGACAGTGAGCGGCTTTGAGGTGCCACGTGTCAAGATATGATGCCAGACTGTACAACAATCTGCTGAACAGTTCCGCTTCATTGACGTGAGAGAAGTCGGTCCTGATGGATCCGATGACGGACATGAAGCGGTCGTGACGGATGCTGGCGAACAGTATCGCATCTTCTGCAAACTTCATCTGAGAGAGTAAATATTCGTTTAAGAGTAGAAGGCTAGTAAAATTAAATCTCAATTTTTTTGAGTTTTTCAAAGGAATGACGAATGTATGAATAGTCAAACCGTAACCAATTACCCAACCGGATATTATCCAACTATCGACAATTACCAAATCTTCACCTTGTTCACGTTAATTAGAAGAACTTACTGTTTTCATTTCATTTGAATGAAAATACAAATTATAAAAACAAGAAAAAGCAAAAACGAACCTCTAAAGTCTGTAGCATGTTAATCGCAATCTGAATGACAAGAAACCACAATCTCTGTAGTTGAACTGAGTTGTCTAGCTTTTCAGAGTAAAACTGCGCAAAGCACAGCAAGCGCTGAATATTGGACCACTGTAGCGCTGCGGCACCTTCCTTGTAGTTCGTCAGACACAACATTAGGGAGAGCAGTGCTTCTGATACCTGGAATTGTAATGGTCAGCACAAAAACCTTCTTGGTAAGGGGGAAGTATTTTGTTATATATTTGACAGCGAAATGGAGGGAACTTGAGAACCGACTAAAGGCTATATTCGCAATAATACGCTATTTCCACGGAACAATTAATATATGCATGATTAAAATTTATAGCGTACCATGTATCACACGTGCACATAAGGCTTTATCGTGAGTTTTAACGCCCGCCGCCGCGCAGAAAGTTCTTGTACAATGTAATCGTTTTGTTTGGGTGTGTACTATTTCGTGTGCTTATTGTCGCAATATTGTTTAATATAAATATCACCTCACTGTGCTATCGTGTGAATGCCACCTTGATTAATTGTTTTGATACAACACATTTAAATTTTACCACACTGGACTCTGCTTTAATATGTTTTATTGTCGAGTTTATCAAAATGATCGAATCGACTTTCATTTTATAAAACTTTTCATTGACACTAGTTGTAAAATTACCAATGCAACCTTATTAAGATTTCGCGGCCAAAGAAATATTTCATCTGTACTGACAATATCACGAAAAATTTGATTGTTCAGTGTTTAGTGTTAACCATACAAAATCCCTCTATTTCTGCATCAACAACCATTTGTAACCTTCCACTTTTGTTTTTTTACAAAAAGGTGGATTCGGTGAAACTGTATTAGATAGTTAAACGGAAAGTTACTCTGAATGTTACATCTAATAACCAGTAGCGGATAATTAAATAAACATATAATCTTTAATTGTACTGAATACTGTGCAGTCATTTTAATATCAACCTTGCACATTCACCACACCATACACGAAATATATATTTAGACTTTAGTACTTGAAGCACTTAACATCCTCAAACAAATGAACCTGCAATAGGGGGAGGGGGAGGAGGGGGCATGTGCAATTCAAATCAAACTTTCAGTTTACACCGGTACGCACCTGCACCTCACTGCAGACTAAATATTCTATTAACGAATGCTCTGGATTTAACGTTAAACACAGAGAGTTACTCATGAATTACCCACTAAGAGGCAGCTGGCTTGATCAATATACATAATATTGTAGTTAATATGGCCTGCTTTGCTACCAATATAGTTGTTTATACGGGCTGTGCCACTTAACAGCTTAATGCTTAGAGGTCCTAGGGATCAATTGCTACGCAAGCCTTGTAGGAGAACCTTACTCACTCTTCAACAGATCTGATATATCTGTCATATTCTTATTAAAATGTTTCGTCAAAATGATTTCGATGGTCAACTAATTTCTGTATCTATTATTCAGCTCAGTATCTGTTGTTATGTCACGTTTATCTCCCGGACAGGTTGGGCATGATCGTTCTTATTCCTTTTGGGGAATTTACCACCTAACCCTAAGTTTTAAAAAGCCAACATTGTTTAGTTTTAAGTGACAAGTTGCAGCCACGCAAATATATATCTTCTATCCAACCTTTTCAATTTTATTGTCTTTACAGTCTGACCACTGAGTAGGTCTCGATGATACTATTTGCTCATTTTATACTACCCCACTACACACTTAAAACACATAAAATAGCAATTTTTTGAAATATAATTAATTATACAATTAAATATAATATGTACGGGCGACGGATATCAAGGTCACGTGACTCCATACTGGACTCTAGACAGTGACTCAGCTCTAGACGGTGATTATCACTCCAGGGCTGCATGTCTTTAAATACCCATACAAAGACCCGTAAGTCAGTGACTTCTTAGTCTGTTCTGATATTGATACCCAGTAGTGGACGTTATTTCTTCTGACCTCGTATTCCGTTCTTTTTCTCTCGTCTTTTTAAACCATATTAACAATTTTGATGAGGATCAAAGAATTTCTGCCTGTTTTAATTTCAGCTGGTATTGTCTCGAAGCCCATAGCTATTTCTATAAAAATGCCACCATTGCATTTCTGATAGGTCTAGATCTTGTATCCAAGTACAACAGTCCTCGACATTTCCAATATACCTTTAAAACAGGATCTACAGGATGAACCAAAAATTTAACAACATTTTGCTGTCCACTTCTTCCGCTAATGTCCGCCAACGTCATATCCTGTCCTTTTTGGATTCTATGAGATAAGCGGACATAGACGGACATGAGGCTCTAAAACATGAAAAATGCAGGTCTAAGCTTCTAAGGGACTTTCTATTTAGTAGGTGTACATTAGAATTCTCCTTCAAGGACAGCCGACAGTCAAATTATTTCCACTTTTGCAGATAATGAAAAATCGGGTTTCTTTCGGGGAAAAAATCTGAATTTGGTAATGATACTTTATAAATTAAGCGAGTAATTAATTAATTAATAGATGTGGATACTGGCGGGGAGGTGATAATTGTTTTTTTTCCGTTTTAGGTGGCGCCTCTATTCAGCAGGTTGAAGAGGTGATAATTGTTTGTTTACGTTTTAAGTGGCGCCTCTATTCAGCAGGTCGAAGATGTGATGCAAATTTTGTATTATCGAAGACTTGTAACCCTTGTAACTCCTTCTTGTTACCCCCCTTTGAAGGTCCCGAATTATTTTCAGAACGAAAGCTCAAAAATAACCGAGAAATCGACCTTCTTATTAACTCATTTTGATGACTGTTTCTGACCTAAAATTGCACGAAAAATCGATTTAACTAGGTTTCAGAATCTATAAACACTTCCTTATCCCTCAAAATTGATGTTTTATAGTTAATACGAGCAACAAGCAACATATATTTTGATCATTCGGTTCTACTCATGACTTATAGGGCCTAGGGAGTTAAGCTGAAACCGAAAGATCCAGGCAATCCTCACCTTAACTAATCGAACAGGTACTAACACAATTTTCAGATAGAAATGTTCGTTGCAATATGTCTAAGTTCAATATGTTCAGCTTTGCAACTTGAGCGAAGAGCAGAGTACGAAAAAACACAGCAGGTAAGCAACTCATTTTGTTAACTGTTCCTCACCTAACGTTGCACGAGAAATCGATTTAAGTTGGTTTTGCAGCCCAATAACGCTTCCTCATTCCTCAAAATTCTTGTGTTACTCAAACAAAGAACATTTTGATTCTGCAACGGAAGAACAAGGAGATCGTCTCGTTAACAACTCGAACAGGTACTATCACAATTTTCAGAGCAGAGCACAATAGCAAAGTCAAAAGAAACACAATGAAGGTAGGTAACCATTAACCAACACCATGATATTATAACAATCATAATAACAACTGAATATAATAATTATTATGATTGTTATATCATGGTGTTGGTTAATGCAATGGTGACCTACCTTCATTGTGTTTCTTTTGACTTTGCTATTGTGCTCTGCTCTGAAAATTGTGATACTGATAGTACCTGTTCGAGTTGTTAACGAGACGATCTCCTTGTTCTTCCGTTGCAGAATCAAAATGTTCTTTGTTCACAAGAATTTTGAGGAATAAGGAAGCGTTATTGGGCTGTAAAACCAACTTAAATCGATTTCTCGTGCAACGTTAGGTGAGGAACAGTCACCAAAATGAGTTGCTTACCTGCTGTGTTTTTTCGTACTCTGCTCTTCGCTCAAGTTGCAAAGCTGAAATAGACATATTATTGCAACGAACATTTCTATCTGAAAATTGTGTTAGTACCTGTTCGATCAGCTAAGGTGAGGATTGCCTGGATCTTTTGGTTTCAGCTTAACTCCCTAGGCCCTATTACAGGTCATGAGTAGAACCGAAGGATCAAAATATATGTTGCTTGTTGCTCGTATTAACTATAAAACATCAATTTTGAGGGATAAGGAAGTGTTTATAGGTTCTGAAACCTAGTTAAATCGACAGTCATCAAAATGAGTTAATAAGAAGGGCGATTTCTCGGTTATTTTTGAGCTTTCGTTCTGAAAATAATTCGGGACCTTCAAAGGGGGGTAATAAGAAGGAGTTACAAGTGTTACAAGCCTTCGATAATACAAAATTTGCATCACATCTTCGACCTGCTGAATAGAGGCGCCACCTAAAACGTAAACAAACAATTATCACCTCTTCAACCTGCTGAATAGAGGCGCCACCTAAAACGTAAAAAACAATCATCACCTCGCCGCCAGTATCCACATCTATTAATTAATTAATTTTATTTGATTCTTAAGGCCAATATCACACGTCAATACTTCTTTGTCACTAATTATCAAAATAACATATTATATGCAAGTTATCATCGTGCAAGTTATTATCATATTGTGTCAGCCAACTGTTCAAACTTTCAAAAGATCGTGGTTTAAGCTTGCTATCTAATTTGATACAGGATTTTCGGTTTTCATACCATTCCACATAAGAGCTTCCTGCTAATGTGTTAGGGATCGAATGCTAAGTAAGCCAGATTGTTTTAACATATTACAGCATTATAAACTATAACTATGTAGAAATTATGTTTTTAACTCCCGTCTCCCATCCGATTCAGAAGGTATCTTAGCGGAGCTGTGGCAGTGTGGTATGGCAGCCGTCTTCATTGATAACATTGCAGTCAGCACCCCTTACTGGTACAATTACAATCGCGCACAAGTCCGTTAATACATATATTACACACATATACAACTATACAATGTATTGTTGAGAAGACAGCTTTACATAATTACCGTTTCCTGGCCCGTAACTAACTCTTATACCATGTTTCGGTACCATTGTATCTGTTTATTGCCTTTTACTCGTTGTAAAATAAGGTTGAGAGTAATTCTTCATTATCTTGAAAATGTGTGGATTTTAAGTAAGCATTCTATTGAGGTCAGCTGATTTGCAGGCAGTCACGTGACCAAGACTTTTACTCTGTTTCCTCACTCAAAATCTCGGACGAATCTCAGCTTCGGGAATATAAAACTATTCATATTAGACATAATATCTGAACTCTAGCCCACGAATACCTATAAAAACCTATACCTAATTTTACCTCTTTTAAAATCGGAGGGAATAACAGGTATTTATGAGGTTACATATTATATATATATATATAATGTACTATATTACATAATTATATTAGATTCATTCCACTTCAAACTAAACTTTTTGACAGTTTGTTTTAGGTATTTAGGTAGAATTCTGCTTTGCCAACGATTAAAACATTTTTTATAAGACAAACAGATAAATAGCTCGTACTTGTGTTTTAGTATCCAAATTTTTAATAAATATTCCCACGAAGGCTTTCTTTTTAGTGTTAGCTAGTTTTATAAGCATCGTAACACAATTCTTTGAGATTATCGTATTATTTCATTGAAAACATATCAACCTTTTGCAATAAAAATTTATTAAAATTAAATTAAAAATTCTCATTCTCAACATTCAACAAAGGACAACAAAACATGAAATGAAATGACAAACAAACACAAAGAAGAATGTTAACCATGTCAGCGTGGCTGATAGTTTCAATAATCGTGACGATCTTTGGAGTCTCAGCTAATACCCTTTCTTTTTCCTTCTTCCTGTTTCAATCCAGAAATGGACTCACTAACAAACTGTTCATACTGCTTACTTTTTGGGATTTTATTGCTTGTTCCAGATTTCCCATCTTTTTTTGGATTGACTCCCAAAGCAAGCTGAATCTAGCTTACATAGCGGTGACTTACAACACACTGTTCATTACAATGGTCATTGCAGTGACACGGGCCATCAAGATCAGTGCTCCTTTATATCGCATGAAAGGAAAGATCATATGGTTAGCCATTTCATTTTTTTTTGTCTATAGCGCAACTGTCAAGGTGATGTTGCACCATAAAGGTACAGTCCATAAATTGGATAAGAACATACTCACCAATTGGCAAATCGCCAACATTTGTGAAATGACAATTTGGATGATGACCTTGATGATGGCGATAATAATTTCAAACATCATATGTGTTATAAAGCTTCTCCGACCTGGACTACTGCCACTTTCTGCCACAAATGCGGAAGCAGCAAAAACAGTTATAATACTTTCAGTGCTGTTCATTTTCTGCAACAGTATAATGGTTTTAGCAGTTGTTCGGAATGTTAAGTACGTAGCACAAGGATCTCAAGCAAAGCTGATCAAAGGATGGGACAAACAAAATGGGTTATTCGCATTTCAACTTTTAATAGTATTGAATTCAGTGTTTAACCCTATCGTATACTTCATCCGCAAACCAAACTTGAGGAGTTGGGTTAGAGGAATCCCCAAATCTTTCAAAACACAATACTCTCAGTTGTCGGGTACATTAAGCCGGAAACTGACCAGATCAAGAATTCACCCAGAAAATACCCCACCAGCAGAGCCGGAACTTTAGAGGACATGTTTTAGAGGACACACTTTACAGGATGTTATTTTCTATTAATTGAGTAGAATATTGAAATTTCCTGTTCAGCAACAAAAAAGCAGGTTCAAAGAAGGTTCTCTGAATTGTGTGTACTATATTATCTACTTTGGCCGGGTTCTAAATTTTTTGGTATCATAACTTATAGTTATATCGGGAACATTTTTACCCAAAGAGATTTTATTCTGACGTAGCAGTTCTGTGAAGTTTTAGACGGAAATGGAAGAGCATCATGTACGTGTGTGTCGCGTCAAATTTTTCCTCCTTTTTTCGTTTCTTTACTAGAAGAATTTATTAGTAATACAAGGATTGATTATTGGATTATTCATCAAAATCCTTAATATCAATTGTACCGACAGTAATCTAGATATAAATTATTTTTGAGCAGTTTGAGCTTTTGAGATTACGTAAATAAAGTTGTGCTGGTTGTGTTAGATTATTTAAATTGTGCTGATTCTGTTAAATTATTTTAAGTTGTGCTGATTCTGTTAAAACTATTCATATCGATTATTATAGACATAATATCTGAACTCTAACAGGTATTTATAAGGTTATATATTATATATAATATATATATATACATCATACTATATTACATAATTATATTAGATTCATTCTACTTCAAACTAAACTTGTTGACGGTTTGTTTTAGGTATTTAGGTAGAATTCTGCTTTGCCAACGATAAAAAACCTTATTTAAGACAGACAGATAAATAACTTGTGTTTTAGTATCCAAATTTTTAACAAATATTCCCACGAAGGCTTTCTTTTTAGTGTTAGCTAGTTTTATAAGCATCGTAACACAATTCTTTGAGATTATCGTATTATTTCATTGAAAACATATCAACCTTTTGCAATACAAAATTTATTAAAATTAAATAAAAATTCTCATTCTCAGCATTCGATAAAGGACAACAAAACATGAAATGAAATGACAAAGAAACACAAAGAAGATGGTTAACCATGTCAGCGTGGCTGATAATTTCAATAACCGTGTCGATCTTTGGAGCCCTTGCTAATACCCTTTCTTTTTCCTTCTTCCTGTTCCAATCCAGAAAAGGACTCACTAACAAACTGTTTATACTGCTCACTTTTTGGGATTTTATTGCTTGTTCCAGATTTCCCATCTTTATTTGGATTAACTCCCAAAGCAAGCTGAATCTAGCTTACATAGCGGTGACTTACAACACACTGTTCGTTACAATGGTCATTGCAGTGACACGGGCCATCAAGATCAGTGCTCCTTTATATCGCATGAAAGGAAAGATTATATGGTTAGCCATTTCACTTTTTTTTGTCTATAGCGCAACTGTCAAGGTGATGTTGCACCATAAAGGTACAGTCCATAAATTGGATAAGAACATACTCACCAATTGGCAAATCGCCAACATTTGTGAAATGACAATTTGGATGATGACCTTGATGATGGCGATAATAATTTCAAACATCATATGTGTTATAAAGCTTCTCCGACCTGGACTACTGCCACTTTCTGCCACAAATGCGGAAGCAGCAAAAACAGTTCTAATACTTTCAGTGCTGTTCATTTTCTGCAACAGTATAATGGTTTTAGCAGTTGTTCGGAATGTTAAGTACGTAGCACAAGGGGACCTTTACTGATAGTTGAAATTCGACATATGACGTCATCTAGCGTCATCTAGCGTCATCTAGCGTGAAATATCGCCAGATGATGATAGATGACGCTAGATGACGCTAGATGACGCTAGATGACGCCAATTAGCGACATTGTCGCTAAGTGCACGGCACCTTTCGAATGTCGCTATCTAGCGCCATCTAGCGCTATCTAGCGCTATCTAGCGCTATCTAGCGCTATATGACGCTAGATGACGCTAGATGACGCTAGATGACGCTAGATGACGCTAAGCACGCAGCACTGACGCCAGGCGACAGATAGCGCTATTTTCATCAAAATTCTAGGGACGACATCTAGCGTCATCTAGCGTCATATGTTGCCGCGACATCTGACGCTATCTGACGCCATCTAGCGACATCTGACGACATCTGACGACATCTGTCGCGACGACATCTGACGCAGGCGACATCAAGCGCTGGATAGCGGGATAAGTCAGTTTACGACAGTTCACGCTATCTAGCGCTATATAGCACCAGATAGCGCTATATAGCGTCAGATGTCGTTGCGACATATAGCGCTAGATAGCGTTAGATAGCGCTAAATAGCGTTAGATAGCGCTAAATAGCGAAGAATTTTGGGTCGTGACAGTCCAGGCTATTTAGCGCTAGATGTTGCTATCTGGGTG